TCTCAAAAACCACCAATAAAAGGAGTAATGAAGTCCTTAAACCAAGATTCCAGCTCTTTGATATCTCTTACCATGAAGTCAAACTTTCAAAAACTAGATGAATTATCACTCTGACTTTTGTGTTTGCTCATTTAGTGAAGATTTGAAAAACCGAAACAGAGACCTTAAGAAACATCTCAAAGGAGAACATTTATACTTAGCTCTTCCAATTTCTGTATGGATGAGTTTCTACTAGTGCAATGTCTTTAGCCTTTCTCAATTCCCCATCACTCATATTTTGTCAGTTTTATACAGCCTCTCTCTCCAGATGCATGTCTGTGCATATGTGTGTAGGAAAGAGAGAAGGAGGAAAAGAGAGAGTTTTTGTCTAGGTGCACCAATGACAAAGTTGGTCTGCTTAACTGAGGGGTACCCTGGCCTATTTAGACACAGCATTCCATCATTTCTCATGATAATTTTATAAGCAATAAGAAATGGCATTCTTACAAGCAATAATAAGTGTTGACAAGGATGTGTGGTACACTCATACATTGCTGGTGGGACTGCAAATTGGTGCAACCAATATGGAAAGCAGTATGGAGATTCCTCATAAAACTTGGAATGGAACCACCACCTGACCCTTGATTTATGTCCAAAGGACTTAAAATCAGCATATTACAGTGACATAGCCAAATCAAAGTTTATAGCAGCTCAATTCACAATAGCCAAACTATGGAACCAACCTAGATGTCCTTCAACAGATGAATAGATAAAAAAAAATGTGGTACATATACACAATAGAATATTACTCAGCCTTAAAGAAGAATAAAGTTATGGCATTTGTAAGTAAATGGATGGAACTAGAGAATATCATACTAAGTGAAATAAGCCAATCCCAAAGGCCGAATGTTCTCTCTGATAAGTGGATGCTGATTCATAATGGGGGGTAGGTAGGGAAGAATGAAGAAAATGTGGATTGTGCACACAGAAGTGAGGGGAGGGGAGAAAGTGTGGGGGTGGGAAAGCTTCCGCAAGAGGGACATTATTACAATATACATGTATGATTACACTACCGATGTGACTCTGCATAGAGTACAGCCAAAGGAAGGAGAAGTTGTGCTCCATTTGTGTACAATGTGTCAAAATGCATTCTACTGTCATGTACAACTAATTAGAACAAATTAAAAAAAAAGAAGTGATTTGTGATCTTTACATTACTGATATCAGTGGTTCAACAAGACATCTTCTCTTAAGCATTTGAGAATTATTCTCCTGCTATTAAGTTGACTCTCATTAAAGCATGTTTTACTTGTGAAAGAAAATGATATTCTTCATTTGTCTGAATCCTGTGACTATTTCTCAATAGGTTAAAAATTATTTTACCTCATTTAGTATATTATTTAAAAAATTCCCAGTATCAAAAGACACATTAATACGTAGAAAATATGAAATGTCCAATAATGCTACTTAACATTCAGTATGTTGTTCCTATATTTCTAATTTTACTAAAGAGTGTGCACATGTTTGTGCCTTATCTTTTCTTAAAAGCAATACTTGGAGCATAGTGTTTAACTTTGTATCTTATAAGGTTTCCAAACAAACTTCACAGGAGAGAGCTTACAGAAATTGTTCTGTAATAACTAAATAATTTCATAAGGTGTTATTATCAATCACTCCACATTTCTAGATATTTTTTCAGCTACAGAAATTGCACATGGAGGATAACATTTATAAATTCATGAACAATACTTCTGGTGTATCATGTTCTTAGTGCTTTCTAGTTCCAGTATCCTACCACTAAGAAAAGTAGCAAAATCATTCACGTAGCCACAGAATATCTAGTCTGTACTTAACATTGTGTTAGGCAATAAAACAATAAAGACAAAACATGGTTCTTACCCTCAAATAACTCAAACTACATGTTTAAGATTGCTGACTTTATATTTTAAAAAATGTTTTTAATAGCACATTGTAATTACAGTTTTTATAACTGTGTATATGTATATATATTATATTCTATGTGAAAGAGTTGGTAACAGGTCTATTTATTTTAAATAATTACCTTTAGTAGATTATTTTTTAAAAGTAATTTTAATAATTTATTGAGCTTTATGATCATAGAAAATTTTTTAAAAAGTAAAATTCTTCAAGGATTAAATGTTGAACTGATAAGGAGAAAATATAGTCTGCAAACTAATTTTGGATTTGTGGGAGTCTCAACTGTTCTATACCACAAGCATTATCCAGCTATGCCAGTCAGACACAACATAGCTTAAAGAAGCAAGAAGAGTAGGTGTATGGAAGGAAGCTGACCTCATTTCCATCTCAAGTGTACTCTGTAGGATATGGATAGTGAGGCTAATGTGTGAGGTAAACATCTTTGAAGACACAGATTGATCCTATATTCCTATGAACATGTAAAGCAGATCATCATCCTTAGGCAAACACTAGATTTGTTAATGTATGCATGTATAAGTGTGTGAGCACTCATACATGTGTAGGTAAACATAATTCATGTATAAAATATATATAACATCTACACTTTCCCTCATCCTCCTTATCTATCTTTTTATATTAATGTATCTATATTTTTCTACACGCATAGCTCAAGTCCACAATATGTGAAACTCTAAAATATCATTCTTATTGAAATGGCTACTTAAATGCAAATGAATTTTCTATACATAAAGTTATCAATATCTTATATATAGTTACTCAGCTCTTACAAACAAACAATAAATGTATAGTATCTCATCTGTTTTTCCCCTATATTTCCAGAGATACTAAAATGAAGGAAGGACTTCCATTCTGTAAATAGCAAACTAAGACTTGAGTGAGACCGTTTGACTTTTTCTGAGAACATGTAATCAGAAAATGTGGCTTCCAGCCCCAGAGTTTAGGGCAGATGATTAAAAAAAAGAAAAAAGACTCAGGAGTTGAATGGCCACCACAAAAGAGATTGGACATTGGATCAATTGTGTCTGGTGTGTAACTTTCACTCTTTACCTCTCTTAGGTGGATTCCCTCTAGGTATATCTTTAGTTTCTTTTTATGCATATTGAGGCAATAATACCACACATGTTGAAGCTTCTTAAGAAGATTGGAGTTAATTAATAAAATTCCCAGCAGGTGGTTTGTAGGAGATGAACACATAGATGCTTTGTGTTCTAAAAATAATACACCTGATTTTATACCTATGCCAACAAGGCCATATGTACATTGTCAGTTATTTATCAACTGAATTGTTTTTATAAGATAAGTAACTTGAAATCTTATTTCTTTTACTTCACAGACTGAAGGCTCTTCATTATCATGAGCTACATTCACAGAATGCAAATTCATTTCCATATTTCGGTACAGAACATTGGATTCAGAAAAATAAAACTTTTCTGCAAAAATGTGATATTTTTCTTATTCTTGCAAATTTCTAAGAATTGGCTTATATTTACTTAATTCTTGAAATTGTTCCATCTACCATCATGACTAAGAAAAAACTGAATATAGATATAATTAGACTAAAATAAACAAATGCTAATGTCTAAAATGCAGGGAAAATAAAATCCATTAAAATTAAACTCATAAAAATATTTTGCTCATATATAATTCTGATACAGAATAACATGAGTTATTGATAGCTATTATTAAATGAGGATTTATTTATCTATCTAAATATATATATATATATATATATATATATATATATATATACCCACACAACAAATAAATTTTTAAAAATATGAAATTTAAATACTGTTCAATACCTTTGTATACCATATCAGTAATTAAATTGATGAGTTTTTGGCTATATAGGAAATACATAAATTTATTTGTATTATATGTTTTTTATAAGTATATGTAAGCATATACTTATAGTGGAAATAAGGCTTTAGGTAGCCAAATAATAACTTTCTAATATACATATATGTATCTATAATGAGAGATATAAGGATCTATGTAGTTATCAACTCAATTTTTGTTTTCATACATAAATATATTACTCAGCATAAAATTTCTAGATTTTTTAAAATTTGTTTTATTTTTCTGATAAATAGATAAATGCTGATTCCATCAATTGATAAGGGTGGTTTTTGTATAAGCTTCTTCTCCATCCACAAGCAAGATATCCTTCAGGGTTTTTTTTTTAAGAATATGTGTTGACAGTCAGAACATTAAAACACACACACACACACACACACACACACACACACACATACACACACAAGCACAGCAAAACATAAAGGCTCTTAAAAGAAACATCATCCCTACCAAAGTTCAACTTTCCATTTGGCTTTTAATGGTATTTTATTCTGTATCCCACAATGTGTACCATTCCAATGGATAGAGGTCTTCCTAACTGTCAGGATGAAATGGCAATAGTGTCTAAAATGAGAATGACTTGCCCTTATGAAATACCAAGCAAAATTTAATTGTTCTCAAAATATCCATGTATCACATTCTGTATAGTTTAAAGATGTGTGGGTAACAGGCACTACACTTTGAAAACTTGAGCCCCACAATTTTTGTCTAGTAATTAAATTCCTCTGGTGCAACAACATTGTCATTTTGTTTTTACATCTTAATTTCAAACTGCTTTAAGAAATTTGACATCTCAGTGACACAGCTTTGTTATTTCCCAATCATTGAGAAGTTAAAGAATTTTAAAATTGTATGATGCTTTGAAATAGATCTTATATAGAATTTAACACAGACTTGAATTACTCATTATATATAGTTTAATTCTTACACATAAAACTGGAAAGCAACTTTGCTTAGGCCTTTTCCCGTTAGACAAGGAATTCTTTCATTTAAATAGCAGGATCCATACAAACCCAAGCCTGAGGAATAAAACAATTTAGCCCTAACTTACAAAAAAATTAGCTTTCTATCACATCCCTTTTTCCATTAGACATTTTTTTCAGAGACTTTACTGATTCGATTGTACAGCAGAAGGTTAAATTCTCACACAATGATCATTAGCAAAAAATAAACAGAGCAAGTACTAAAGCTGGCTTTGCACCTACTGAATGCTGCAAGTGTCTGTACTCATTTGATATGCATCTTGCAAAGCTCGGCTGTTCCCAGAAGGCCACTCCATGAAGACTGAGAGAGCAGCGTCTGCTAGTGGTGCCTGTGTGTCACAAAGAACAGAGAGAAGCTTTATAACAGGATGCTTGAAGGCATCGTATAATTGGGAGACTGGCTGAAAATTGGGCTTACGCTATTTTTTGCTTTAAAAAACATGCATTTGAAATTGTTATTTGGGTTATTTTTTTAATGCCTGTGAGTCACACTGAGAAACCACTGCACCAGCAATATTTTGGGGGCCTCTTTTTTTGGCTCCTTTCAGGAAGCACTTTACTAAAATTGTTTCATTAATTGTTTATTGGACAGACTTATTTATGGATACAGGACAAAAGTATGACTTCATAAGCAAGCACAGCATGCTGTTGTTGGATAGCAATCTTCATTTGGATTTGGGCGGGTCATCTTACTGTACCTGTGGCATTCAGTGGGCATTGATTGAATGCCAAATCGCCTGCTGGAGTCCTTTTCCACACCATCGACATCAGATAATCCTCTGGGCATATTTCATAAGGTGCTGCAATTTAAAACAGAGGGCCTTGAATGTCAGCAGTGTTTATTTTTTTAAATATTGGCAATAAACAATCCTCAAATGCATCTCTCTCACTGTGCACCTCTTTCATGTTCTTTAAAGTAGATTGCTTTCTGAAATGTTAGAGACATAAACAAAAAATCACCAGGTTTTATTTCACTATCTACAAAATCTTCATGCTTCCTTTGAAATTTCTTACTGTGTAGGCTTCTATGAAAAAGTCACTTGGGTTTATCTCCAAATTGAACACATTCAAGAATGAAAAAAAAAATCTTTCCAATTTTTTATAATATTTTAGGATGTTATACAATAAAGCGATTTACAATATACCAAAAGCCATATTAGAATTATTAATAAGTGTTAAGAATCAATTAACATAAAGTTCAAAAATATGTTTTTATTTCTTCATCCAAGAACAAAAAATACCAGTTGTGCTTTTATAAGAATAAATCAATTTGATTTTTTAATTATATTTGAAATTTCAAATAATTATAGAATAAGAAAGTTAAAAGGAATTTTAAGAACAGATCTATAACAAATATATTATAATGGAAAAACACCCAAATCATGAAATGATGATTTATAGTATTTATATAAATACCTTGATAAATGAGGACCTAAGAAACAATAAGTAGGGCCGGGGACATAGCTTAGTGGCAGAGTGCTTGCCCAGAATGTGCAATGCCCTGGGTTCAATTCCCAGCACCACAACTACTGTAATAACCACTACCACTATTACTACTAAAGTCCCTAAGTAAATATAAGCATGCGACTTCCTGGGAGAAATGTCTTCCTTTGGAAATAGTGTCTTATTTAATCCATGACAATAAAAATTCTACTGATCCAATTGTACTTCAGAATTTGTGAATTCTGTAATTTAACTTATAACTATTAGTAGGTGAAAAAAAATGCAATTGGATGCATTAAGTATTGAAATTGCAGTTTTTTGTAATGACCTAAGACAAGCTGAATGATTTAAACAAGCGAGCATATTAAAGTTGAAAGTATCATCAAAGGTCACCTATTTCATTTCCTTCATAGATGAGAATGCCAAAGCCAAAATGAGACTCACCCAAGGTGAGGGAGCTGGTGGAGGTTATCAGCAGGGCTGAACCCCAAAATTTCAATTCTTCAATAGCCTTCCTTTTGACTTTCCAAGTGTTTTCCTTGTTACCTTGAATTGTTCAAGAAAGTATTCTTCCCCTGATTTACTCTGAGTTCTGATAAAAACACACTGGTGACTTGACTCCAACACATGGAAGCTTTGCTTGGCAGATAGATTAGTAGGCAATCTATGTCAGCCCCAGTTTTTTTCATAAGCTGTCTTCTCCTCACTAGTGATGCCCATCAGGCCTACCACACTCACCTCAGTCTTTACTCACTGAACCTTCCCTGGAGCACCTCTGACTTTTTCTTTCTCAAAAATACTTTCCTCAGGTCCTTAGAAAATCATTCTCTCTTAGGCCTCCACCAAATACCCAGGCCATTTTCTTGTGTACATTTTCCTTTCTTAGTCTCCTTCCTTGTATCCTTTGCAGAATGATTCATACTTCCCTTTTCCCTTAAGTTAAATGCTTTACTTAGATAATTTCCATCATTAATAATATTAATCCTTTTAACATTCATTGAGTCTTTTACAGTCTTTCATACCCAGAATCAATCTTCCCCAACTACCTATGATCTAGAGATGACTATTAGTCTTATTTACCCATGTGAAAAAACAGAAGCACAGAAGGAGAATTGAAATTTTTCCTTTTCAAAATTGAAACATTATTTTTATCACATATTAAATCCAGACAAGAATATCAGTGCAGTTGGGGCGCACTGAATAGGGAGGAGTGGCTTGGTGAGGGTGCCTGGTTCTCACTCCCTTTGGGAGTTAACCATGCCTTCCTGGTCTCTTCCATGCATCCAAGGCTGCTATTCTGACACTATTAAGGGACACTTCTTGGGATCAAAGAAAATTTTCATTAAGGCTGGACTGGGATAGTGGTTATGGGTAGAAGTAGAAATCAAAAATCATCAGAAATCAAAACTAAAAAGCAGCAAAATGTATCACACACACACATACATAATTTAGCTCAAGTAAGGATAAAGGAAGCCTCCATAAAGGATTCTCTTCCACAGTTATCTCAGGAAACAGGAGAGAAATAAATTAAGGAATAGAGCAGCCATCACCAGCCAAGCATCCATAACCAGACACTCCCACAAGCAGGCTGGGGGACACTTCACTGGCTGCTCCATCTGTCCCCCACAGCATGGAGAGCATATGCTCCTATTCTGGACTCTGCTGCCCAACCAGTCTCCTCCCAGCTGGAGGTGTCTCCTAAGAGGACAGGTGACAGTATCAGGAAGAAAAGGCAAAACCCAGAGGTGTGGCAGTGGTGAGGGAAGTCACTGCCATGGAAATAGATGGTGCTTATATTAATGTCATTGAAGGGGAGGAAAGCTGGGAAAAGAGGAAAAGTTAGTAAAATGTCAGAGCAGCAGTAAGATTGCAATCAGTTGACTTTTAACTCAAACTTTTGCTTGTGTTATACCTTCGTCATTCTTCTAACTCCAGCTATGAATTGGAGACAACTATGTGTTTCTTTGGTTTGAATGTCTTTGTTGGGTTTTAGATTGGCAGAGACAACTGGTAAATGGCATTTTTAGTTGAATATTCCACAGAAAACTCAAAGGCAATCTGTCCACACTTCAATTCTCACCATTTTCCCCCACACTGCTGCTTATTTTCGCTCCCTGTATTTCCTAACTCTGCCAGTAATATGCCAAACATGTCCCTGTAACTAAAAACATCAGATGCATCTTCTACTCATCCTTCTCCTCTTAATCTTCCACAATTCTACTTCCACCATTCACCCAGGCATCCATCCTATCCTGTGTGAATTAGGGAACAAGTTCATTGGTAAATTCATGCATTTACTAACCTGTGCTGGGCCCTGCTATAGAGAGAACCAGCGATACATTAGAAAAACAGTCTCTGCCTGTGGTTCTCTCAGGCAAAGGGAGAAAACAGAGGTAAAACACACACACACACACACACACACACACACAATTACTTTTTGTAACTATGCAATATAATTGTAATTCAATACAATTGTGATAAATACTTCAAACATTAACTATAGGGTGCTGTTTCCATCTAAAATCTGAGACTCTTCCTGGAAGAAGTGACACTTGAGACTGGCAGTGTGAGATACAGTCAGTGCTCTTGGCATAGGGTACATTACATGAAAGTGCCTTGCAGCAGGGTAGGGCTTGAGGCATTCAGACTGAAGTGACTGGAAGGAAAAGAATGAGGAGAACTGTGATGTCATGCTCTGCAAAGACAGGCTCAGATAAATTTTTAATTTTAAGAAGATTGGTTTGCCTTGTTTAGGCAGACTAGATGGGCTAGACCATAGAGGAGGTTAATGCAGGACCACAGTTATCCTTTAGGAAGAATGAGTAGACTAAAGATGGAAAAAAATAGGTGGATACAAGATAAGTTTGGCCTGTTGGCTAAATGATGTGGGTAATGAAGGCAACAAAGAGGTCCAGGATGGTGCCTGCTTCCTGAGCTAATGGAATGGGTGTCAAGTGATGCAATTCCCCAGTACCTTTCCCCTTAAACCAATTTTTATGCCTTGTAACAGTAATCTCTAAAATGAAGATTAACTTTGCCCCTTGCTGTCATGGGTCCCTTGTCCTCATAGAGTAAAGTTAACTGTGCCTGTGTAATCAAAGACCCTTCTAGTACACCTGAACCTGGGATGCCTCCTGCTCACTCACATGTACATCTGTCACAAAGAATGATTGGTTATTTCCTAAATATTTCACACTAATTCATTCTTCTTTCTCTGTGCAAATGCTGTGTGTTCTGCTTAAAATGCTTTCTCCTCCCATTTTTGAAAGTATAATTCCAATTTATCTTTAATACACAACCTACATGATGGATTTTGCAAAATGATGGAAATCTATTTTCACTGTTAAACCTAGTAGCCACTAGCCAAATATGGTTCAGTTGCTAAAATGCGCTCAGTGGGGCTGAGGACAGAATTTAAAATTTCATTTAACTTTAATTAATGTAAATTAAATTTAAATGGTTACTACTTTGGACATTGCTATAATAGATGATAACTATTTCTGTAAATCCATTCAAAAACTCTTATGGAATATTTTAAAATGGAAAACTAGAATAAGTATTAAAGTTCACAAAATACATCATGAATAGTTTATAACATAATCAAATTCTATATAAAATGACTAGTCTATTTTTACTGACATGACAGTTTTTATCTATTATTACAGTTATACTTGATTACTATTTGTTCCCTCTATGCATCTCTCTTCTCTTTGTTATCCTCATCATCATCTTTTGATTTATAATCTTTTACTTCCACAAAACTTGCACTGTCTTTCTAGTGTTCAATGCTTTCAAACTCAAATTTTCTTCAGTTCTACTGATGAAATCTGAAATACATTTCATAAAACCTGTTGCTACAGCTTCTAGTATTTCCTGATTTAGTCTTGATATAAACCAATGAAAAAGTAATCTGTACACTGAACTTCTTCATTTCCCTGGAGTGGACTCAGAAAGCTTTCACACTTTATGATCTGGCAAAAGGCATTCATTCCCTCTCTGTGCCCCTCCTCCCTGTCCACTGTGGTCAGAATATCTGGTCATTGTAGATGTTAGCCACTAGATGGCAGTGGTGGGCCAACAGGGCGAATGTTTACTGGGCCTGCAGCTCAAACTGATGAGGTTCAAAATCAAGGTTGCCGTAGTAATAACAATCTGCTGGGAAATATGGGTCACCGCTTGATTTTTTAAAGGGCATACTACTTGGGGAAAGATGAAATGTCGTTTTTTCATGTAAGGAAATATGTTTAATGCTTAAACTGGCCTGTTACAAGGTCCTGCAATCTGGTTCCCTTTGGCTGTGTTCCTTCCCTCTGCCCTCTCACTACCTCCTCAGTCACACTGGCCTCCTGGCTGGCTC